ATGATGATATATCCTAAAAAAAAAAAAAAAAAAAAAACCAAAATTCCCACTAAGGCTTCAAACGTTAATTAATGCTAAGAGCGATGGAATCAACCATAAAAAAAAAAATAAATAAATAAATAAAAACTAAAATATGCTGAAATTACTAACTCGAAAAAGACTATGGAGACGAGATCTGATTCATAGAAATTCCTGGTTTTCTGGGTTGGAAATAAAGAGAGGTTACCTTGAGGGTTGAGAGAAAAACTGCTGTTTTTGGATCTACAAAAGGCACTGGTGAAAATGAAGGGATCCTCCGGTGGAGAGATCTATAAAGCTAAACAGTAGTCGATTTTGTTGGTTTTTTTTTCTTTTTCTTTTTCTTTTCTTTTCTTTTTGTTTCTAAATAAATAAATTACATCCATTTTTGGGGGCTTTTTCTTGACCAGAAATGGTTGAGAACGTCTGATAAACGCAATACAACGACGGAGTCGACTACATTCTCAAAGTCCATACCTGGCCCGGCCCATTGAGGCCCGACCTGGATATTTTCCTTCAGCCTGACCCAACTTCTCTTTTTTTCCTTTCTCTTATTTTTCTTTTCCGTTTATTTTGATTGAGGTAAAAAAAAATTAATAACAAGATTTGCCAATAAAAAAAAAAAAGGACACTTTCTGCTTCAATTTTTTTTTTTTTTGTAGAACCAACTTCAACGATTTGAATAATTAATAAATTAACTAAAATATCCCTCTTCTTTACTCAAACTTAAATTGTTAATAATATTTAGTCTTGATACTTATAATCATCAACTTTCTCCCTAGCGTGGTATTTATGATGTCACAATAGCATAGAACGGAGAATGAGAGCATGCATGACAACTTGAATGAAATCACAACTACGTAGTGAAATGCTTGATTGAAACTTTTCAAGTCTTAGAGACTTGTTTGCAAGAAAAGAAAGATTTAGGGCTCAATTAGGGGAGAAAAAAAAAAAAAACTACTTAACCTAGCTAAAGTGCAGAGAAAAAATGGTACCATATCAATTTATATAGAACAAAATATCTGTATTTTGAGCTTTAGAAGTACTGAATGTTAATTATGTTCAATGGAGAGAGAGAAGCAAGAAGCGCATGCAGCAAAAACGCACACCATGCATATGCATGATGTAACAACTCACACTCAAATAATGCACTTCCACTATTTATACTACCCACACAATCATGACAAAAACGCTGAAAACAAGATAGCATAACCCAAGTACCCAACAGCACTACTCTCCTTCTTCATCAGATAGCCATCTGCACTTTGTTGGCTGTGCTTCTGTACATTGCTGTCGCTCCTCCGGCTGCCCTTGCTCAAGACACTACCATTTTTGCCCCAATCATTACTGACTGTAGCTCGCCTCTTAGCACTCATGCCATGCTTGACATTCGTCCAGGGGACTGCCAAGAGGCCAGAAGAGACATGCTGCAACAACCTTAACTAGCACTACAACCTTCAGCCTGTATGCCTCTGCCACCTGCTCAACAACACCACCTTGAGCACAATTCTGATAAACACCACGCTCGCTTTGCAGCTGTTTGCTTTTTGCAAACTGCATCACAAAATCTCTTCGTGCTTAGGTGCCAGTATACCTCTAAATTTCTAAATTGATTTTTTTTCTTGGTAGTATACCTTTGTTTCCTTATCAATGATTTTATGCCTGTTTTTTGTTCCAAAGTGGATCTCTGCCTTGTTTTTTGTTCATCATCGGGTTCTCAAGTTTTCCTTGGGACAAAAGGACAAATCCACTCTTGCTTATAAGAAAAAATTTCTGGGATTTATGTCTTTCTAAAGTTCCATCAATTAAATTTGTCTTTCTGATTTCTTCTGTTTTGGTTCTGTTTCTGATGCTCTGCTTTGGAATTTCAGCTTCCCCCATAGCATCCTCTGTTGTTCCAGTGGCACCAACTCCCCCCGACGTTTTCTGCACTCCATGTAACAGAAACCCCGTTGGAAAGCCGAAGGCGACAGGCCATTTCACAACTGTAGCAGTTGTAACAATTCTGTTCTGGAAATTGTTCTATTGAGTCTGGTTATAGCTACATTATGCCTGATACTAAGTTTGTGAGAAAATTGGGCTAGAGGCTGTAATTGTGTAATCCTAAGGTAATTTCTCATTGATTGAATTAGAATGATGTATTTACTACACATATATTACTTAGGAATGTAAATGGAAGTTTCTTCTATCGAACAATATAACTAGCTGCTTTTCTACAATAATTTCCCAATGTTTTCTATGATCCTATATCAAGTATCAAGCATATCTATAAATATAATTTCAAGTTGAAGAAAGGTCAAGAAGAACATATTCTTAGGATCTCAACAAGCACACAACAACGCAAAAACACCTGAAATTAGAAAATAGACATCTCACCATGCTTTTATTTATCCAGACATCTAAAAATTGTACAGATACATAGAGAGAGACATTACATGCAGTACCTCACAAATCAAGGTATACCAACTCCCCGATGTTAGAGCTTTTCTAGACTATTCTAGACTAGGTGCAACTTCTGTGGGATTTGATTCAAAGACGTCTGAATTAGATGCCTCAGGTTCTTCTAAAAGCTCTCGAGATTGGATAGACTCTTTGTATGCTGGTGTCTCCTTGAAATCCGTTGCACCTTCATTATACGTAGCCACAGCAATCCCACATGCGATTAACTGTACATGCAATGCAAAATGTTAGACTTGTTATCCTCAGTCATTAAGAAACTACATTTCAAGTGGTAAATCTGAACAAGAAAACATGTATACATACACATTTCACATCTAAAGGGCAGAATCTAGCACAATAACAAAAAATAGACTTCAATTTCTTATTAACACATACATAAGCGAGGCTTTTTAGCCATTGCAAGCTTCTCAAGCATGGAGTTAAGGATGGCTTAACAATTGAACTGCAACTCTCTCTTGGAAGGCTGAAAAAGTAGCCCTGAAGAGACCCCTACCGTTTCTCACCTAAAGCTCTTAAATTTCCAGAAATGAAAGAGGCATTTCTACCACTTTCCAAAACCGCTTTTTGGCAATCACAAGAAGAATCATTGTCCATGAAGCACTGCATATAAAGAGAGTTTTAAACTAGAGGATAGGATTCTTATAGCATAGCCCTCTACATTCCGCATAATTTGTTCATTAAATTTGATAATGCTGATTCTATGTGCTGAAGACTGTCTGAAAGAAGAGGACATGGGAGAAACTCTATAGAGACCATGTTCAATTTAGAAGGCGCATGAGTCACTATGTCTTTTAATTCCTGATTATGCAGTATGCCAATATGCAGCTGAGCTTTTGAATTAGCTTCCATTCAAACTTCAAAGGTTCACCAAACTTAAAGACCAAATCCTAGTAAGTTCAAAATTTATCAATTGGAAATCATTACAGGTTCTAAACTCTAAAGTGCTTCATATTCTGCCAAAATTTCTAATTCTCCCTTCCTAAATGTTGCCAAAATCACCCAGGAAAATGTGTTGAACCCACCTTCCCAATCTTTTCCTTTCTAAGATTCATTACACTCAAACAGGTAGTAGCCTGCCTGATACAGTCTTCTAGTTTGTATTAAGGCATACAGAAGCTGAATTTTTGTCTCATGGAGTCTTGATGTATGATTTCAGAGTTCAGACATATCAGCGTGTAGCCAATCATGGTGAATAAAAAACCAACAAAAGAGCATAGAAGTACCGCAAAAACGATGCCAAAAGCCCACAGATACTGCACAAAGAAGCCGAGAACGTCCCACTGTGGACCCTCCCAGAAATCCGGCTCAAGACCGGGAAGCTCCGGCAAAGCAGACCCATCAGCAGCGGTGGCACTTGCATCAAAATTTACACCAAGAGCAACATTTTCAATCTTATCGTCCGGCCGTTGTTCTTGATCTTGATCGTCTTCTTGTTCTTTGGTAGTGAGGGCTTTCCTCCGGTTCTTGCTGTCGAAGCGTCCTATTCTGGAAGAGAACTTTTTGGCTGAAGTTATGTGAAGCGTTCTT